TATGAATCTTTAAAAAAGAAAAAGACGTGTAGGTGGCGCCCCCTACGAGTAAGAGCAATAAGAACATCAGGTTCGAATTCGACACCTCAAAAACCTCCTATTACCAAGTTTCGTTTAATTAAGTTCAGTATTTCAAAAGTTATTTGAAAAAAACGAAAATAAAAATAAAACTTCAACATCCTGTATCTTGGAAACGAAGCGTTTCCGGACATTTATTTTTTTGGACAATTCATATTAGAAAATTGTGAGGAATCACCTCCTGAAGTTTGTCAAAGTACTTTTGAATCACCCTGTAGAACAAGTGATATGTTGAGAAAGTTAGGTAAAAATAATAAAGACTAAACATTCAAATTCGAAAAATCAGGAGTATATAAATTAAAGTGTGGAACGTGTCCTAAGGTATATATTGGTCAAACTGGGAGAACATTTAGGAATCGAATCAAGGACCATCATATGAGCTATGTAAATAAGAAAACAACTTCAACATATTCAAATCATATTTCAGAAGAGTTAGAAATACAGTAGGAGTTGTTTAACACGTTAGGATCTATATCTGCATTAGTAGGCAATATATTACCTTTTCGATGTAATTTACTTATTATAGCCCAGTTATGATCATCAAAGTTCAAAACGTTTGCCCATGGTGTTATATTAAATAGGTTCCTAAATGATTCGTAGTTCGCCTTGCTATATATTCTTCCGTATCTATATTTACTTCTTTCATTCACTGTTTGGAGTGACATTTCGAAGATGAGAGGTTCATGGTCTTAAAGGCCTGCGAGCACAGTTTTACAGCTAATATTCTGTTTTTCCAAATTTGAGCAGATATAGTCAATGATAGTGGCTGAATACATGGTAATTCTTGTATGTTCACTAACATGCATGGTCAAGTTTAGAGAGGTCAAGTAAGTTATGTAGATTTAGATTTACCATACGCTCTTCATCGTCATAATTCACATTGAAGTCACCTGTGAGTACGATCTTTGAATTAATTGGTAGGTTTGATGAAAGAATTTCAAGTTTATTTAAAAAGTTTTTAAAATTAGAATTAGGCGTTCGGTAAAAGCAAATTATATAGATATCGTCGAAAATTTTCTATCAAATATCATTTATTCAACGCTGATTTGTCTCGTCGTGTATTGAAACCACATTATTCACGATATAAACCCAAAACGATCTTATAATTGTAGCAAATTGCAAAATATTGCCGTACGGCTTCGAGGCCTTTAAAGGAATTGCATAATCAAGTTTAAGCCGCTCGAAATCGGATTAAAGACTACGTATTTTTATTGTTCGATTCAATTTTCATGCCGTTCTTTCTAACTGTCGACAGCGTGTTCAATCCGCGTTTGTAAGGCTTACGTCGATTAAAACTCAAACTTGCAGTAAGGTTTCCGAAACCATTTCGTGCAGTTTAAATACAGTTCGAATGAGAGGTGACTGCGAGACCGAGGTGACGGTAGTTCTCATTTGTATTGAAATTAGCCGATACTTGATGAAATGTCAAGTGTCTTGGCCTAAAACTCAGCTAATCACAATTAATAAAAAAATATACAGCCAATGGTTACGATGTGTTATTTTTTTTATTCGTCAATTTACGGTAGAACCATTTGGAAGTCTGAAGACTAACCGAAGATTAACGAAAATTTACTTTTTTTATTGTGTTCATGTATAT